TCCTGCCAGAATGACACGCAAAGGATAAGTGCCCATGGAGTGGGTCTTAGGGCAAAGTCTGGGGCCGTGGCTGATAGGCTTAACAGCAGGGACCCAGGCCAAGCTGTGGCTTTGCGTTTAAAATATGTGTTACTATCTAAAGAGGGGCCATATGATCATTAAGGCCAGAGTCTAGAATTCCCTAACTGCACCAGAGGACAAAGAGAAGAGTTCCTACCCTGGTCCTCAGCAAGAACAGATGTTTCCACAGAAAGGCCCATTAGCATTTGCAGAATTTTAGGGCATTTAGGCTGGTTCTTCTTAACTCCCCATACAGTTATCCATCCGTAGATCTATCAGACCATGAGGGCTAAATGCTCCGAGGCAGTGTGCCTTCTGCGGGCTGATTCATATGTTGCAAAGTCATTGCAGCTCCTATGAGGGCTTTTGACAGACATGTGCTGGCACCTCCCTTCTGGGAATTTCAATTCCAGTCAGGCATGGGTCAAATTCAGTTTAGGACTATGGTCCATGGGGAAAGGGCCCCACTGATGCAAATTCAGTACGGACAAAGAAAGCTTCTTCCAATAGGCATGGATGCTGATTAGGAAAGGTCTGAGTTTCTCACTATCTCCAGATGGGACTTGTAATATCAAAAGATTTGAAAGCTATTGGACCCCTGGATAGAGTCAGGAATTGAAATCAAGCCGAATATAGCTGTTTAGAAATGGACCCAAGATAAAATCTGGCAAGCTGAGCCAAAACTATAAGGGAATCCTCATTCCTCACATTATTTATTTAGTTAGTTAGCTATAATCCACCTTGATCACTGAGACTCCAGGCGGATTACAGACTGAAGTCAGTGCAATCAGTAGGATGAGGAGAAATCAAATAAATGAGGGAATGGGACCAGGCCTGCGGAAAACCTGAAATGAGGCATAATTATTAAACGTAACGTTAGACAATGCAAAAAATGGTATTACATACATAGAAATATAATGCAGCGAGAGCAAGATAGAAGCATATAATATGTATTAGTAGTATAATTCACAGTACTGTTCCCTCTGTAGAAACATCTTCTGGAATCATTCTGTTATACATGCAGAATTCTGATATAACAGAATCGCAGTGTTGCAATTCCTTTATACAAATGCCCTCCTGAATTGTTCTGTTTTGCATCGTTTGTGGGAAGCCAAAATTGTGGGAGTGTTCCTGACCATCTCAGGCAGGCCATTCCACAAGGTAGGGACTACAAAAGAGAAAGCTGGTATACAGGCAGTACATACCATTCTTCTTTCAAAGACCTTGGGGTAGCTTACCTTCATGGGGCTATCCTATTTCTAGCCTTGCCATAGACTAGGTGAAGAGAGACTGGTCTCCCAGTGAGCTTCATGACCTAACAGAGATAGACAGCAGGTCCTCCCTAGTTCAGTCCCTATACTGACATCTAGCCTGCGCTGTAGGAAGATCTTGAGCAGAATGACATCTAAGCTTTGTAAGCATTCTCCAGAAGTAAGCCATCTTGAATAGCTAATGAACCATCTTCAGCACTTTATGAAATTGTATTAGTTATAATATCATTGTTTTAGATGATTTTATGTTGCCTTTAATTGTATTTATGTATTGACTGTGAGCTGCCCTGAGCCTGCATTGTGGGGAGGGCGGGGTATAAATGGAATAAATAAATAAATAAATAAATAAATAAATACTCTAACCATACCACACTGGCTCCAGGATTATGGCTGATGGGGAGGGTGGGCAGAGCCAAGTGATTTATGAATCTCTCCTGGCACTGGCAGAAGAACCTGAACATTCCTTGCTGTTCAGGCCCCAACATCATCATAAGAACATAAGAGAAGCCAATGTTGGATCAGGCCAATGGCCCATCCAGTCCAACACTCTGTCACACAGTGGCCAACCCAGACTGAGAGTCCCTATCTATACCTGGTGGCTAATAGCCACCAATGGACCTCTGCTCCATATGCTTATCTAATTCCCGTTTGAAGCCGTCCATGCTTGTAGCCGCCACCACCTCATGTGGCAGTGAATTCCATATGTTAATCACTCTTTGGGTGAAGAAGTACTTCCTTTTATCTGTTCTAACCCGACCACTCAACAATTTCATGGAGTGCCCACGAGTTCTCGGATTGTGTGTAAACCTCCATCATGTCACCCCTCAGTCATCCATTCTCCAAGCTAAAGAGCCCCAAGTGCTTTAACCTTTCTTCATAGGAATAGTGTTCCAACCCTTTTATCATTCGAGTTGCCCTTTTCTGCACTTTTTCCAAAGTTATAATATCCTTTCTAAGGTGTGGTGACCAGAACTGTACACAGTATTCCAAATGAGGTTGCACCATTGATTTATATAGGGCATTATGATATTGGCTGATCTGTTTTCAATACCCTTCCTAATAATCCCCAGCATAGCACTGGCTTTTTTTATTGCAGTCACACACTGTCTCAACATTTTCAGTGAGTTATCTACTATGACTCCAAGATCTCTCTCTTGGTCAATCTCTGCCAGTTCGGACCCCATTAACGTGTATTTATAGTTAGGATTTTTGGCTCCAATGTGCATCACCTTGCACTTGGCCACACTGAACCCCATTTGCCACGCTGACGCCCACTCGCCCATCCTCGACAGATCCCTTTGGAGTGCCTCACAATCCTCCCTGGTTTTCACCACCCTGAACAACTTCATATCATCCACAAATTTAGCCACTTCACTGCTTACTCCCAACTCCAAATCATTAATGAACAAGTTAAAAAGTATCAGACCCAGTACTGATCCCTGCGGTGCCCCACTGCTTACCCCCCTCCACTGAGAGAACTGCCCATTTATACTCACCCTCTGTTTCCAGAAGAACTTTGTCACAAAAGGAACTGAAGTTTTCCAACTGTCAGCGCTGCAAAGGCTGTTGTTTTATTTTAAGAAGAGCAAATAAAAGAAGCCAAGAGAGTAATGATTCCATCTTGGTTTTATTTTGCATTATTTATAAGGAAATCATTGTTGTTTCCTTCCTAGGGAGGGCCAAGAATATCCTGATCTGGGGCGGTTGCTTTCCTACTATTTTAACAGAGATGAGGTTTGCCAGTACTGACAGCTCCTGAAATGAAACACTTTGGTGCTTGGGGAGGGCCTACAGAAGGTGGTATCTGCTTGGCCCAGGTGGTGGAGGCCAGAGAGGGCCTGGGGTGGGGGCCTTGACAGGCCAATCTCAAAGTAAAACTATTTTCAAACTCTGTAACAGGGAAACACACTAAACACAAGGTAAACATCAGGAGAACCTCTCAGTTTGCCATGTCCTCAAACTCTGAGACACATAGGTCGTGGTCACAGGGGCCAGAAAAAATGGGTGGGGGAGCGAGGCTATTTACTCTGGAGGAATTTGACCCACAGTTGTGTGATCACACAGTCCTTGGAAGCTGCAGGCACAGCCCGCCACTGCGTGATCAGACGCAACCATGGGTGAGTTGGGTGTGGGTTTTTTTGCCGTTTGTTTCTGTTGGGTTTAAAAAGGAAAAATTGGAAATTTAGCAGATATAAGATAGCTTAGCAGTGCCAGAGTAAAATAATTCAGACTCAGAGTCCATGTGTGATTAAAATAGAAAGTTTTTACTACATTCTAGCATGGGGAAGGGTAACTTGGGATAAAAATAACAATGGAGCTAAACGGCTACATCCTTACGCTACAGAAGACAAGACCAGAAGAGAGGTAATGGCTGCTCTTCTTTCTTTTTGAGAACTCCAAAACAAAGATGGGAAGAGAAGCCATAAAATGCTAAAACACTTTGACACATTCGTTTCAATCAAACTCCTAGATCAGGGAGAATTTTCCCGGGCTTCCAGCATCTAAACTAAAATTGGTTACATGAAACACATGTGACTTCCTGTGAGCAACACAAACAAACATTTAACCCCAGATATACTGAGTGTAATATAACTTGTAATACCCAACAGTTTCCAATGTGCTTAAACGAGGAATCGATGAATCACAACTTCACACTGAGGGCTCCCTATGGAGTTTGCGATGATGTGCACACTGAGGGGGGGGGGAGCAACGGCATCAACCATCCCAACGCCATGAGAGCACCCTGGAGTGATCAGACATGGGAAAGACTGTCCCTGGCCCGTCACAACCTGTTTTCTACTGGATTCCCCCCGGTGTCTTTTAACTCCGCTTCTGAGGTGGAGCAGGACGGGTTGTCAATGGCTGCAGAGTGCTTCCTCCTAGAGTTTGTTGTCTGATCGCGCCCTTTAAATCCGCACGGCATTCACACCTATGGTGGGTCTAATTGTGCGTATGATCACAGCCACAAGTTAAGTCCTGGCAATGTCATGAAGTGGGGGTCTGGTGATACCACATGAATTTAGGGTTGCCAATCTCTAGGTGTAGGGTTGCCAGCTCCGAATTGGGAAATACCTGGAGTTTGGGGGGATGGATCCTGAGGAAGATGGGATTCGAGGAGGGGAGGGACTTCAGTGAGGTATAATGCCATACAGCCCACCTTCCAAAGCAGCAGTTTGCTCCAGGGGAACTGATCTCTGGGCGATTTCTCACTAGAGCTGCCTCGCGGCACAGCCCCGTTTGCCTCGACACAAACATGTCAATTTCACACCCGAAGCTCCGGGGCTGCATTTTGACTCGGGGCTTCGCCCGATTTCCTCCGCAGTTTCGTGATCCTGGTTTTTGAGGATCATGAAACTGCGGAGGAAATCGGGCGAAGCCCCGAGTCAAATGCAGCCCCGCAGCCTCGGGTGTGAAACTGACATGTTTGTGTTGGGGCAAACGGCGCTGTGCTGCGAGGCAGCTCTAGTGAGAAATCGCCCTCTGTCTCTTGGAGATCAGTTGTAATAGCGGGAGATCTCCAGCCACTACCTTGAGGTTGGCAGCCCTACTGTGTTCGATGTTATCGACCCTACAAACCTTCCAAGATACCAAAACCAGCGTTTGACACTCTCTACTCTCTTTCTCTACTAGGTTAGCCTGAGGAGAAGAGTAGAGAAACTGGCTACCAAGATGGTAATCACCAGTGGAAATGAAGAAGAAAAAGCCAACCAAGAAAAGGAAAGCAAGGAGGAAACCATCCTGGCCATGCTGGGAATCATCGGGACGATTCTCAACCTCATTGTGATCATTTTTGTGTACATCTACACGTTTTCACGACGCTGTGAACTGCGGAGGCAAAGCCATTCCAGACAGCTGACACGAGGTGACAGCAGACTGTTGTGTGTTATTGACACGCGGTTTAACGAGAACAGACGCTTTTTGTGTATTAGGACGCCATAAAACCGCTGCCTGCGGGGCGGCTGGAGGCTCAAGCACAATTAATCTAACAAGACTTTTTTCACACGGTTACGAGCAGAACTCCCCCCCCCCCCCCAATCCCCCCCCCCCCCCCCCCCCCCCGCCCTCCGCCTGCCTGTTCTGCCCTTTCTGTTTTCATTTGTTCTCTGGAAAGAACTGCAAAGATGTAAGTATCAGCTCTGGAAGAACCCACCACAGGCCGAACCTTTCAATACAGCCAAAGGCAGACGGGACACTCCTGTAAACAGTTTCCAATGTACAGCATATTCATGCCCAGATATGTTCCACAGATAGCTAAGCGGCTGTCTTTTTGTGTCTTATAGATCATATCATCTTTTCTTCTCATTTTATTTATGTTGAAGCTAGCAAGCTTTTTTTACACACAAAAAATCAATTAAAATGAGGGACATACAGTGCAGTGGTGTGGGTGGGTGGGGGGAAACTACCACTTTGTTGATCTGCCTAAGAAAACAAAAGATGAAACCTTTGGGGAAGTCCGTGACATGTTGTTTCTTTTCTCTCTCATCCGCCTGATATCTGTGTCTCTTCATACCAAGGTTTATAAATATCTATTTTTAATAAATGTGCTATATTTTTAAGCATGAAACAAACATTATGGAGACACTTGGGTCATTTGTTCAGCTTGGATTTTCTCAGTGAAAGAGCCTCCCCCATCCCACCCTAATTTCTCAGCCTTTTTAAACAGAAGGTATCCTTCGGCGATCTAATAGTCACTTTGTTTTCAGGCACTGAGTTCCAAAGTCCTTGGAAACGTGTTTATGCTACAAGCCTGACATGCTGTTGGAATGCCAATTGGAAAGTATTGCCTATGAAGAGTTCGTTTTATACCACACTTTTTGGGGCTATGGTGGCTCAGAGAAGCCGAGCTGCAGACTGGAAGGTCAGTAGTTTGGTAATTCGAGACCCGAGTGCCACGTGACGGAGTGAGCTCCCATCTCTGACCCCAGCTCCTGCCAACCGAGCAATTTGAAAGCAAGAAATTGCAAGTAGATAAATAGGTACTGCTTCGGTGGGAAGGTAACAGCATTCCGTGCACCTCAGCGTTTAGTCATGCCAGCCACATGACCATGGAAAATGTCTTTGGACAGCGCTGGTTCTTCAGCTTGGAAACGGAGATGAGCACCGCCCCTTGAGTCGATTTTGACTGGCTTTTGAGCAAGGGAAACCTTTACCTTTCTGTACCCTAAAAAGTCTCAAAACAGCTTACAGTCTCCTTCCCTTCCTCTCCCCACAGCAGGCACCTTGTGAGGCAGGTGGGGCTGAGAGCACTGGGGCTGGCCCAAGCAGGCTTCATGTGGATGAGTCAGGAACCAAACCCGGTTCTCCAGATTAGAGTCCACTGCTCTTAATCACTATACGATGCGGGCAGAGTGACCTTTCTTGGCTGGATTTGAGTAGGCTTGACCACCATCACACCCACCACATATGCCCAGTCTCTCAAGAGTGTTACATGCAAAGGACTCTGACGTGGCCTACATACTGCAGTTGACTACAGTTAATGATTTGAGACTCTGGGGCACCATATTAATCATCAGGGAACCAAGGGAACCATTCCTAGAAGCACCTATTTATTTATTTAATTGGATTTTTACCCCTCCCGCCCGCCAAGGTGGCTCAGGGCAGGTTACAAACAATTTAAAACAACATACAAACAATTTAAAACAACATACAACATAAAACAAGCAAATACAAAATATAAAATCCAATAAATACAGTAAAACTAAGTAAATACGGCAGCATCCTGTGGTAAAATGCTAGTGTTACCCAGCCGGTGCAGCCAGTTCTTATTTCACAGGGTGTCTGTTGTGGGGAGGGGAAGGGAAAGGAGTTTGTAAGCCACTCTGAGACACCTTTGGGTAGTGAAGGGCGGGGTATAAATCCAATCTCTTCTTCTTCTTCTTCTTCTTATTTGAAGGCTTGGTGAAACAGCTCAGTTTTCACTGCTCTACGGAACTGCTGGAGGTCGCGTAGAGCTCTAATTTCATTAGGGAGCTCGTTCCACAGCATTGGTGCCACCAGGGAGAATGCCCTGTTCCTGGTTACCATCAACCTGGCCTCCCTAGGCCCCGGGGTGGGGGGGCAGGCGGGGTTGTGATCCAGACCACAGTGCTCTTGGGGGAATGTACGGGGAGAGGTGGTCCCTCAGGTAGACAGGCCCCTGGCCATTTAGAGCTTTAAAGGTAAAAACCATCACCTTGAAGCGAATCTGGAACGCTATTGAAAGCCAGTGCAATGACTTCGGCACAGGCTGGATGTGCTCCCACCTGGGGAGACCCATCAACAACCTGGCTGCCGCATTTTGCACCAGCTGCAGCTTCCGAAGTTGCCCCAAGGGCAGCCCCATGTAGAGAGCATTACAGTAGTCTAGCCTTGAGGTGACCATAGCGTGGATCACTGAAGCCAGATCATTGCGTTTGAGGAAGGGGACCAACTGCCTAATCAGCCGAAGGTGGTAAAAGGCTGCCTTGGCAGTGGCTGCTACCTGGGCCTCCATTGTCAATGAAGCATCCAGGAGCACACCCAAACCCCTGACCCAATGGCGCCCCACCGAAGGCCGGAAGAGGGGCCCCTAGCCACTCCGATTCAGGCAAAGGACCCCTGTCTTCGTCGGATTCAGTTTCAGATGACTCAACCTAAGCCATCCCGCCATGTCCTGCAACGCCCGGTCCAGATCTTCTGAGGTAGAGCCAGACTGACCACCCACCAACAGATAGAGCTGGGTGTCATCCGCATATTGGTGACACCCAAGCCCATACCTCCGTGCAAGGGGGCACATATAGATGTTAAATAGCATTGGGGAGAGCACTGCCCCTTGAGGCACTCCACAGACTAGTAGTTGCCTTTGGGACATCTCCTCCCGCAGTACCACCCTTTGTCCCCGACCGTGGAGAAAGGAGATAAGCCATTGCAAGGCCAGCCCCCGAATCCCCACATCGGCGAGGCGGTGGGCGAGCAGCTGACGATCGACCATGTCGAACGCCGCCGACAGATCTAACAACAGCAGCACCGCTGTCCCGCCCTGATCCAGATGCCTCCGGAGGTCATCCGTGAGGGTGACCAGTGCTGTCTTCGTCCCATGACCAGGGTGGAAGCCGGACTGGAAGGGATCCAGTGTGGAAGTGTCATCCAAAAAGCTCTGCAACTGTATCGCCACTACCCTCTCTACTAGAATGGGATCGGGGCCTTTAAATCTAATTGGTGTGTTGAAAACATCTCACGTTAAGAGGATATCCATTTTCTTGACAATGTCCACCTACCTGAAATTCATAAGGGCTTGTTCTAACCCCGACAGAATTCTTTTTTTCATATGCTGGGTTGGCTCTAATGGAAAGATTTTCCATCAGCAGAATGAGACTTTCTCATCTTCCCCATTTTGCTGCCACTCAAAGGGCTCCCCAAAATTTTGCTCATGGGGGGGGGGGGAAAGGCGACCCCCTCCAGGAAGAGCATGAGGGATGAATCTATAGCAGAAGGAAGTATTCAGCAAAAATCTGTTGGTGTAAAAGTGCTGCTGGATCCAACCCATTCCTTCCCACACTTTCTGCTTTAGATTAAAATATAAAACAAGCAGATTTGGAAGCTGTCTTCTAGAATGGCTATGGCCAGTATGTCTCATTTGGTGGACCCAACACAACTAAAAAGATACTGCTTTTTAAAGCCAGTAATTGGGGCTAGCAAAAGGTAACCATTTCACCTATTCCCCTCCTAGCTACAAGACAGACTATTAAGCACTCTTATGTATATAGGACAAAAGCTGAACATATTGGAAAAATGCAACTTTAATTGGAGATAATTAGCTCTTTGGAAAGCTGGCCCCACGACAGGCAGAGTCTTCTGGTGCTACTATCGGCCCGAGAAACCGGAGAAAAGGTTATAATTCGGTTTGTGTTTACCACTTGCTTCCTCAGTGCCCAGGGAAAGGCAGTTAACCTCTCTTTGCTTTGGATAATAATGTAGATCTATCTCAGCGGGGTGTTAAGAGGCTTAATGTTGAGAAAGCACTTTGAAAAACCAAGCATGGGGGAGCGATCAAAGCACAGTTATGACTGCGTATCTTTGCTTCGGTGTTGCTAATTCAACCCACGCCACAATGCAGAATAGAAAAGTATGCAAGGACCAACTCAGCCAGACTTGACTCACGTATCTTTGGAGATCAGATAGCAAAAGAAAGAGACACACACCCCTTCGTTCCACAGACTGGTCCCCACATTTCCATCTGTTGTGTTGATGAGGGGCAGCATCAAGGCTTGAACCCAGGCTAATTTTCCGTCAGCAGAATGGGACTTCCCTGCCTTCCCCCTCCCACTGCAGACTATTGACCTCCACAAAATGCTGCTGCTGAAGGATAAGGGACCCTTGGGAATGACATGAAAGGGGTCTGCCATGAAAAGGGGAATTGTCAGAAATTGCCCCTCCCCTTCCGTTAGCAGAAATTTTTGTCCAGATGCAACCTTAAGTGATACTCAAGAAAAATCTCTTGCCAAGTCACCTCAAATACAACTTTTTTTTAGAGGAGCTGCACATTTGTTTGTGCACAGAGCAGCATCGATGGGAACCACCTCCCCCCACCAATCTTGCCTACATTGTTGGAACATTTTCACGGGAACACCTGCCGCAGCATGGGATCAGTCTTTGGGGAATCACCTGCTATGCTGCTTGAGATGTGTATGAAGGAAGGATCAAACATACTGTACAGTAGCTGTTGTAGATTTTCCGGGATGTATGGCCATGGTTTTGGCATTGTAGGACCTGACGTTTCACCAGTAGCTACAATGCCAAGACCACGGCCACACAACCCGGAAAATCTACAACAGCTAATGAACTCCAGCTGTGAAAGCCTTCGACAACATACCGTACAGTGTTGAGAAACTGGGGCATAGGCAT